TTTACCTTCAGAATCACAGCATTCCATTTTTTGATCAGCGAACGTGCGTCTACTATGGATCCTGCTTGAAATTTTTCTTATTAAAAGCTGCTTATCAGTGTACTTGAACTGCTACATGGCGGTTTTGAATTCTAAACCCAAACTTCGGGAACGATTGTCCGCACCAGGTGTAATTCATCTACCTAGTTCAAACCCAAACAGTCCATCGGCAGCAACTTTCACGGGCGGTCACATGGTGTGTCTGTTGATTTATTTTAATTTACGAAATCAGTACATTTATGATGTCTCTTTAGGAGCCACTGAATTTTGTTGAGATTACAGTCGATACGACTGATGACAGAAGTGCTACCGTCAAAAATGGGTCAGAAATTGGGTCTATGTTCTAATTTATTTTGCCACTTTTTCTAGTATATGTTCAGTGCTCGGTCTATCATGAATCTGTGATTCATTGACTTATTATTTCCCATGTGCCGCTATCCACATGGACAATTTCTGACCTTGAATGTTCAAGTAACTACTTTGTAGTACCAAAATATTTATTTGCTCGAGATTATTGAGGCAAAGTTAAAATCGTACCCTGAGAAGAGTCTCGAAATAAATTTTATAATTTACAAAAAATGGGAACTGTCTTTCATCGACGCCAGCAGGATTTGAACCTGCGCCCTCAAAGAGGAACAGATAACGACAACCAATCATTTGTTTGTCTTCGGCTCTGGTTATGAGTAGGCAAACCTGGGGCGCAAGCGTCCCCGGGGCCGGAATGGATTACAAATGGGCATGCGAACGACCGCTATACAAGTACAAGTACGAAATACAGTAGGCGGGAGAATATAGTACAGCAGAAGAAAATAAAGTAGCAAAAATAAACTGCAGATTACATTCGATGGAAAGGCTATACTTCTTGAGTATTAAAAAGGGTGGGTGGGCGGGTAAGCGATGAGAAAGCTCTGTTTACAATGTTCAGTAAACAAGAAGAGCAGGATAATGTATATAGAACATACCTGGGTACAACGGGCAGTGAGCGAGAAGAGTGAGCGACTCAATACCCATGACCGTCGTACCCACATGACCGGAAAATTCCGGTATTAAGCCGAGCGCGGCTATTTGCACAGCGGTGCATAAGATAAGTTGCGTGCGACGCAACTGGGTCGTTTAGCGAAACGACATGGGCAATGAACACGTAGCGACGTGTGCCCTCTGAGTCCTGGGACTCACAATATTGATCTAGGTAAATTCAAAATTTACCGTCAACCAATCATTTGTTTGTCTTCGGCTCTGGTTATGAGTAGGCAAACGCGCCCCAGGGCAAGCGTCCCCGGGGCCGGAATGGATTACAAATGGGCATGCGAACGACCGCTATGGAGCCTATGGAGGTGATGATGGGTGATGATGATGAGAGCATGCCATTGAAGAGAGAAGATTATTGGAGTAGAAGGGCAGTGAGGAAAGTGGGGTTTTTGCGGATGTAGATGTGAAAAGTCTCAGAGGCCCAACGACCAGTGGCACGAATGAGGTGGAGAGGGACACCAATTTCCGCAAGACCGGTCGCTCCACCTGAACGGATAGACTGACCAGCAATGTCATGCCGGTTATATAACCTTTCCAGCCTATCCATGAACCAAGACCGGGTGGGCATAGAGCCATCTGCTCGCAGCCAAAGCTGCCAATGGGTGGGAAATCGGGTGTCGCGGGATTTGATGTAATGCAGAAAAGGATTATATGGATCAATTTTGGTCGGGAAACGATTATGACGACGGATAACCACTTTATTCCCCTCAAAGAAAGGATCTGCTTTGTGTTGAGGTAAATCAAAACCATATCCTTGTGAATACCACTTCACCGAATCGCGTCTCGTCCGTTTCCGTAGGTTTTGGTGTTTTTTGATGTCAGGAAGGCACAGCTCTGCCAGGCGAAGTAACCCAAACCAGCCGGTAAGTAGCAGAGCAAGGAAGAGTAAATCGTCATGATGGCGACTGCAACCGTAACACTCGACAGCAAGGGCAAGATCCGAAGTGGAGAGGGGGGATTTTCTTTTCGTGGCTTTGCTGTATAAACGACGACACCCTCTGAGGGTTTTCCGCACTAAGCGATGATTTCGGATTGCCCGAACGTCGTCATAAAAGTCTTCAAGCTCATTGCAGATGCCAGAGAGGTACTTCTCCACTGATTTCGGATCGATGCGCTGAACGTCGTTGTTGCAAAGCCAGACAATGTAAAAACTAAAAGTATCAGGTGTAGGTTTATAGGGAAATCGGTGAACATCACAGAAATAGACATAGGAATTGAGAGCAGACGTATATGAAGAGTGCGTTGATGTGTCAATAGCAGCACCGACAGCAATAGAGCGTTCAAATTTGAGACGCTCCAGAGACCACGGCTTCCGAGGTGGTTGCCGTGATCCCTCTGATAATGTAGGGTTCATTTTTTGGGAGCCCCCAACGTAGATCGAGGGGGTTTGACATAAAAAGCAGGTAGGCAAAAAGAAGAGATGCAACCAGGCCCTGAAATCAGCGGCAAAGGAGCATAGAAAGACATTTGAAGAAAAGCAGAAATGTAACCAAGCCCTGAAATCAGCGGCAAGGAATCACGAAGAGACAAACAAGAGAAAGAAAGGACACAACCAAGCTCTGAATTCAGCAGCAAGGTAGTGAGTTGTAGAAAAAGGGACACCAAAACCACCCAAGATATTACCTCCCGATCAGTTCTTCTCAGTCTTCCCCTCTTTACACTCATGAGCGCCATGTCCCTGTCGTCTACAGTTTGGCCTCGAACAAACATGAGCATAGTGACAAGTCCCAACGCAGGTACCTTGGTTAAACCGCTTGCATACTTCAACCTGAGGTCGTTTGTCCCTTGAGGACGATGGTGAAGAAGAGGTTGAAGCAAGCTGCGCATTTTCGACCACGAATGCTCCATAGGTTTCAATATGAGTGCGGAATGCGTTCCGAAATGCATCGTGGTTGGTATCTGCAAGGGTGAGGTCACCACGATTAGCAACCAGGTTGCGAACTGCCTTGTCATACAAGATGAGACGAGGATGGAGTGATGAGTCAATAGAGAGAAAAAGATCGCCCATATGACTCTCATAGGTAGCCAACTCGAGATCGCGATGGGGAAAAAGGTGCAGAGTTGCACGCTTGAACAAACGGAAAGCTTTGTTCCATTGTGCCTCGTTAGTGACTGTCTTCGTGACCTCCACATCCTTCTCTGCTTTGATCTCGAACACCCCCACCTTCTCCTTGAGCGATTTGGGGACTGCTGGAGAGTGGATGCTAGAAAGTACGGCATCGAAGTCACAGACTTTGTTCTGGATAATGGAGTTCCATTCACTGTCCGGGAATTCAGGTCGACTAACTGAACCCTTAAGCAAATCTTTGAACGCTTTCCCTCCTCGACGATAGTTCGCGGCAAGGGTATGAGTGGTTCGGGCCCCAGAAGACATATTTTCGAGAAGAATTTTGTCTCTTGCGATGAAAGGAACCAGGTTCTTATCAAATTTCGATCTTTTACCATTGTCGTCACTGCCATCAGACGAAGAGGACGAAGAGGACGAAGAGGACGAAGAGCTGTCTGAGGGACTATTTCGATGATGACGGCGTCGTTTTCTGCGGTGCGATCGAGAACCACCGTTGTTCCCTTGAGTGTCGATGCCACCAAGGTTTCCGCTTCCTCCGCCAGCTTCACCTTCGGGCCCAGTGGCAACAGTCGTGCTGTTCCCAGATGTCTCCCCCCTCCTAGCTGCGAGACTACGTTCGGAATCAAGAGAGTCGAGCTGTGCGAGCCATGTTTTGATGGATGACTCATGTGCACTAGTGGGACCGGGCGCGCTGGTGAGAATGAGTACAATCCCGGTTTGAGCAGAGACTCGGTCAAGTTTATTGTCGCGATAGTCATCGACGACCTTTTGCAACTTCTCAACCGTCTCATTGTCGAAACTGACCCCGGGGGGTGGGTTTTGCTCTTGTTCATTGGCCGAAGAGTCGTTCCGTGCCCCAGCATTCCCAGAATTAGTTGCGGACTGAGTTTGGTTAATGGTTCCCGAGGCAGCGGTAGCACTGGAGCCAGTAACAAGCTGAGAGAAGCTTGGACCCAGATTTGAGCTATTTCGCGGATTAACGGTTCCATATGGTACATAGTTATTTCCCGCATTTGAACCAGTAGTCGCGTTCCCGTTGTCCACAGAGGAGGCAGTAGCGCTTCGCTGTTCATCGTTGCCTGAATTCTGAGACATTTGTAACGAGCACGCAGCTCGGAAGTAATGTCGATGTAAAAAATGTATAAGCGATGAGAAAGCTCTGTTTACAATGTTCAGTAAACAAGAAGAGCAGGATAATGTATATAGAACATACCTGGGTACAACGGGCAGTGAGCGAGAAGAGTGAGCGACTCAATACCCATGACCGTCGTACCCACATGACCGGAAAATTCCGGTATTAAGCCGAGCGCGGCTATTTGCACAGCGGTGCATAAGATAAGTTGCGTGCGACGCAACTGGGTCGTTTAGCGAAACGACATGGGCAATGAACACGTAGCGACGTGTGCCCTCTGAGTCCTGGGACTCACAATATTGATCTAGGTAAATTCAAAATTTACCGTCAATTAATTCGAATCTGTCGCCGTAACCACTTGGCTATAGCGCCTTGGCTATCATAGACCTTGAAGCAAATAATTAACTCGTGCTGTTTTTGAATGCTTGATCCTTGTTTCAAGGTTAAAACTATAATCGTGCAGTATGTCGACCTAATACAAAATCCCCTTTATTTCAATGGATGTCCAGTAGAATTAAATTCATTCAGATATCTCCATTTCCTTCCATCACACAGACACACTTCAAGTTGTCCGGAGGGGGACGTCAAGAGACGATTTTTTCTTTCTACCTCGGGAGATCAAGTAAGTGACAAACATTTATTTTGTGCTTTTATCACCGACTAACTACAAAGTGGGAAAATATATCGGGGGCGGGCTCCTGGAAAACATCAGCCCCCTCTCGACTCCATGCACGACGCCAGCAGGATTCGAACCTGCGCCCTCAAAGAGGAACAGATTGCAGATTCCAATTTTGAATGGTTCTAATCTGTCGCCGTAACCACTTGGCTATAGCGCCGATACAAGTTTGTGGTCAGGCCACCACTACGTACGTTGTCAAGAACACACACAGCAGGGCCTAAGCTGGAGTCCAGAGGGATATTACAAGCTGGGTCTGGAATAATTAATATTGATTGAAGAATGGTCGGTGCGAGTGTCTCTGGGTAGAGTCTACCTAGTCAAGTGAGCACGGCGGCGATGGCTCATTGGTGATTGTGATGGGCCATGGACTAGGAGGTCGGTTCCGGATTGTCGTGCCTGAATGCTATTGATGGTATGTTTGATGATTTAATTATTTCTACTATCTGTAAACTATTTAAATGAATTCATGGCTTTCTTTCTGTGATTTTATTGCACTTTAACCAATGTTTTTGTCCAAATCAGACATGGAATATTCCTTTCCTGCCATTATGCAAAGGAAAGAAGGTCGAGATGCCTCTGTTTCGTTCTGGTGTAAAATAGCTCCAAAGAGTAGGATACAATTTGTTTTATGAATTTCTAAAGAATTTCCGCTGATTTTGTCTACAGTGGAATAGATCAACTTCAAAAGAGTGATTCTTGGCAGCGCCTATCTGAATCCAGCACTGTGTTTCCTGGCTATAGCGCCATACCAAATAATGTATACTGTTCAAAACGCAATATATTGTTAACAAAAAATTCATTTTAAATCTTCCCCAGAGCGGTTTGCAGAACGTGGTCTTCGTTTCCTGTCATCCGAAAATAGTCTGACACATTGGTAAAAAACACAAATTGCGACTCAAGATTATCGGAATTGTACCTTAGGCTAAGGAAGAGTCTCGAAATAAATCTTATAATTTATAAAAGTATGAGAACAACTACCTAATCGACGCCAGCAGGATTCGAACCTGCGCCCTCAAAGAGGAACAGATGAAGGATGTCCTTATAAAGAGATTCTAATCTGTCGCCGTAAGACACGTCTATTGTGTGGTAATCTGGTGCCTGTCACTTTCCGAGCAGCTCCTGGAAGACTTCCTCGAGAGGAGGACAATTGGACAGCCCTGCGCTGTCGCGCTTGCTTGTCCTGCTATGAGCGACCGGAACACGTTCTCTTCCAATGCTCGAAACTTCCAGAAATTATTGCCGTGCGAACGTCATTCCTTAGTTCTGTAAACCTTACTGCCACGAATCTGCGGACTGATCGGCACGCGCTGGAGCTTCTCAAAGCTCTGATCTTCTCATGGAATTTGGTTATCCCCACAGCAAAATTTATCAACGACATCGTTATCATTTGGAAGAGGTTAGAAGCTCTGAGATTTGAGAATGAGGAATCTGAGTCTGAAGTGGAGTAATTTCTTGGTCTTTTTGCTTCTTAATTACTAGTAATTACTAGTAGTACCATACTACGGGATCTGATACTACCTTTCTATCTACCTCGTAGTGTACCCAGTCCCTGGCCGGGCTCGTAGTCTACTGCGCGATTGCTCTTGCTTGGCCTTGAGACTCGGGCTGTGCCGTTTCTGGCACCACTCCGGGTTCAACATCCTGGAGGAGCCGTGTAACCTACCTACCGTAACCACTTGGCTATAGCGCCGATACAAAGTCTGCGTAAAACCACGTACACATTGATAAAAAAAACAGGGGCTTCAGCGCTTGAAATTTGAGTCGAGTGATCGAGCACAGAATCATAAAAGCGGAGGCAATTCACACCGGACCTAGGGGAGACGGAGTACGGATAATATACTGTTGACATCTTAGCAGGCCTTGAGATTGGACCTCAAGCATGGACCAATGGGACAAGCCGAAGAAAGATTCAGATGCCCAACTTTAATTCACTAAGTAAAGTCTACAATATATCTGACAGGATGTGATAACAAATCTACAGCTAGTACGCAATCGCTTCACCAAGATCCTCACCTATGAGCACTTCCAACATGTGTTTGTCGTGTACTTTTTGAATCTCGCCCCCACGCTTCACCCCCTTATGCCACTTATAGTCTGGTATGAGCATAATGTGGGGAGGATACCGTGCAATTCCGACAGCACCACACCAATCAAAGTCTATAAGCATGACAGTGTTCTTCTGCGGATTCACCAACACATTTGGCGCACGCAGGTCACCGAAAACCAGGTCTTTGGCATGTAGCATGTCCATGGCGCTTCGCAAGGACTGAGCTATATTAGTATCCTTTATAGGAACATCGACGTAGTTGCCTTCCACCCAGTCCATCACGACAACCCACATACCCACAGCATCAACTTGTTGGCAGTACCAGAGCGCAGGGGCAAGACCTTTGCTTGCCAGAAGCTTGTGAGCCTCTTTACAATAGCTAATCGCGAACTTTACAACAACAATGGACGTCCGGTTTGAAGTATTATTCCTTAATTCTGCCTTAAAGATAGCCTTTTCGGACCAGCCAGAAGCCAAACGTTCAATGTACCTAATTTGGAAGCTATATTTTCCATCAGAGAAGCTGTCAAAATGGGGAGGGAAACATGAAGGATTGAATCGAGGTTGAGGTTTCAAATTGCCATAAAAGTGCTCGAGCTCATGGAGGCCCTCTTTAAGAGCTCGAAGTATGTGTGCAACTTGGCGGGTCTTTTGGGCGAGGTTGAACCGTGTGCTGATTGGCCCGAGATATACATAGTCTGTAAGGCGCTGAGAAATGAGGTGGTCTGCGTAGACAGCACCGCTAACTATCAGGTATGGACCTGGCATCCCAATAAGAAAGGCAGGGCAGCAGGATGATTCTCGAACGGGGAGATACTACAATAGATAATCAGTCGAAGACACACTCGCGAAAAAAAAATACACTGAACCTCATTAGAGGTCACTAGAGAGACATAGCAACATTCAGCATGCGCAAGAGGATCTGTACCCTCGCCAATTTCATTATTGACCTCGGTAAAGCAGGAAATGGCAGAGCAGTTATTAAGAGGGCAATAGACGTTTGTGTGACCGCCGGGGCTCATCTCTCTATCACCGTTATAATACACAGTAGTGCGATCAACAACACCCCTTTTCAAGGCTGTTTCTAGACCACACTCCTGATAAGCGTTTCTCCGACTTGTCTCGTCGAGGTAATATTCGTTCGCGGCTTGGATGAAGTTTAACGCGTTATCCAGTTCCTCATGAGTAAAGTCAACGGTGTCCAGAGGAATAGCCAGTGTATTATCGAAACGTGTGAAAGCTGGATGATATATCGTGATCGGCGGACCAGACAGTTGCAGAGGACGGTTATTGTAGAGGGCATCCAGTTGTTCACTTGTTTGAGTTTTGCGTAAATTACTGGTAATGGCACCAACAGACGGCGTGGGTCGGTTAGCTGCGGATTTTGCGATAGCTTCGCGGGGTTTTGGAGAGTAATGTGATATACGAGCTGGTGAGACCGCACCGCAGGGTGGTGTGATGTGATCGTGGGGTAGCATGTTGTTGGATTGGGTTGTAGACAAGGAGGGTAACAAGAGAAGGTCGAACGTTAATTAAGGGAAAACGAACCAAATGCAAAAGACGAACCAACATCAGGTAGCTTCACCGCAATATGGATAGTCCTTCCTGGGGGTCCATCAGGGAAGATTTCGATTAATTCCATAGTTACCCTGAGGGGTTGACTCGCTTTCACTGCATCCACGATCTTTTGTGCGATATCGCCTTCGTCCGGAATAGAAACATTGTAGAGTGAGGGGCTATCGGCATCAAAATCTTTCAAGTCAATTGGCTTCTTCTGCTTGATCATGTACTTTAGATGGCAAACGGTTAGCGAGCCTGATATGTCCACTAGGAATGGAAAGCTGCTGCCGACAAGACAGCAAAAGAGAGTGAGGTTCGCGGAAGAGGGAGACATGAATTTGTTTGCAAAGATAAATAAGTCAAAAGATGGGAATTCTGGTGAGATACCTCTTTCTCGTCGTGTCAGTCGCGACAGACACCGTGCCACGCTAAAGCTTATATAAGCCGTTATTTGTCAGTGCACACCCTCAAAGAGGATTGCATCAACTTTATCCGAATCTGTCGCTGTAACCAAGTGACTTATACTGTACATGATTAACAGCAAGTTCATTTATCTACACAAGATTCTCTGGAGTGATGTGCAGAACATATTCAATCCAGGGAACAGTCTAAACCAATGGTAAAACAAAAATAATCTGCCTACTCGACGACGCCAGCAGGATTCGAACCTGCGCCCTCAAAGAGGAACAGATCCTTATAAAGAATACAGGGATTCTAATCTGTCGCCGTAACCACTTGGCTATAGCGCCGATAAAACTTTACTCTAAAGCCACGTAGACATGCATGTTGATAAGAACGAAAACACAGGGGCTTCGGAGCTTGAACTTTCGGGTCGAGTGACCGAGGCCCCAGGCACAGAATCACAGATGAAAGCGGAGGCAAATTCGCGCCGGGCCTAGAATGAAATTGGGTGAATTGAAATTAAAATGGTATTTGGAGTCGGTGTCCGTCTGTACGGTCTACAACGGAGACAGAGACAGCCAATTGAAGGGTCTTGTGGGCTAGGTCGAGACTGGGTCTGGAATGTCAAGACCAAGCGCGATTAAGCGCTAAACTGTCAGAGTGATGGTTCATTAGCAGAGGAAGAAATAAAAGTGCCAGCGGAACATGGTAAAGATAAGTGAGAATTTCATTGCGTAGATAGAAGCTACGTATATGGGGCAGAAAGAGGATCAGAGGATCAGTAGTCTATAGTAGAATTGAAGAAGAGAAGACCGAGGGCGGGTCCACGCGTACTTGGATACACCTGAACCTGAGAAGGTGACAGGCCTAAGTATAGATAGGGTAGATATGAGTTGGCTCTATAAGCAATCACATCCAGTATATAGAGCTTTCAGGCAGCGTGCACACCCTTCTGACCTGACCTGCTACCCTCTCTTCTCTCGCTACCGGCGGTACTGCAGTAAGTGCCCCAAAACGTCAACAAATGAACACATATTTTACATTCCATCAGGCTTCTTACTCAAAGTTCCATGCATACGGATATGCACTCAGTAACCCGGACAGACAATTCCTATTCCTCTCCCTCTTCCTCATCTTCCGCGACTTCTCGTTCCCCTTCTTCCACATCACTAATATCACCATCACCTTCTTCACGGAAATCACCATCGCAAACCTTGACCCTGAATCTGACACTCGCACTCGGCCCTAAACCACCAACACCATTACACCGATCATCGAGCGTACCCAACATGTCACCTACTGCGTCCAAGCCGAATACGCCAGCGAGAATGTACGCCGCTGGGCATGGTCTTGAAGAACTGGACACCCCAACGAGGAAAAAGAATTCTCTATTCTATACTGGAGACGAGTCAGAGTCAGAGGTGGAGTTTGAGAAGGAAGAAGAAGAGATGTCGATGAAGGGTGAAATGGAAGAACGTGGTGCGTGCACGACTTTGAGAGAATTTGAAATACGGCCGCTCCCCTGCGGAGTTGACTGACGCTCCACTCCACCTTTTTTTTTTCTTTCACAGACTACTATCCCACTGCGACTCCTACAACCACCACCAACAATCCCAGCACTGCTCCTGCTACTCCGACACGACCTTCTACATCCACTCTACCAGCACGCGTACTCTACGACCCGAGTTCCGAGCCTATAAACCACTCCTCGGACTCTCACGCACACGAGCCTTTGAATAGAGAGCTCAAAACAGAACAGTCTATTCTTGGTGACGGGATGATCCGGACCCACATTGACCACAACAACAACAGAGACGACTCTTTTCTTTTTCACGTTCCCGCTCCCACCATATCCGTTGATACCAGCACTGCTACCCCGACTGCGACTATTGCTACGACTAATACAACTACCATACCAAACGATCTGGAACAGGACGAAACAGATTCCATCACTAGTACTACACGACTACCACTCCCCCGCACCCACACGAGCCCAACTGCTTTGGCCAGTACAGGCAGCTTCCCCAACCTAAACCCACACATCTTCCCCCACTTGTACACCGCCATCGGTAACGGCCGTCCATCCACATCACACACTCCTTCTGGCGCTGCACGAGTATCCTTTTCCCAGTCTCTGCACAACGGCGACAGACCTGGTTCGGCACACGCTCATTTCTCTCCTCTTCACGGACACGGACACTCGGGTCATAGTCATCTAGGCTCAGCGTACAACTCTGCTTTCAACTCTACGACAACTTCTGCACGTACATCATTGACACGTATTGACGCACTCGCTATGGAGAATCCTGATTCGGATATGGGAAGGCCTTTGGGAGAAGAAGAGATTGCGAGGAGAGAAGAGGAGAGGCAGAGGATGGAACAGGAGGGGAGGGAAAGGAGTGAACGAGAGACGGGGGCAGAGGTTCAGGAGGAGGCTAGAGTCGAGTCTGCACCAGAGGCGACGAGTGCGGATGCACCTGCGCCCCTTACAGAGTCAACGACAGTACCGTCATCGGTACCTGTGGTTCCTGCTACCGAATCGCAGGCTCAGGTACAAATCACGATGGAGCCGAAGATACCGCTGACGTTCCTTCTCATCACCGGTGCTCGTCGGTCCATGTCTTTTGACCCCGAGACGACAGTTGGGAGGGTTAAGGAGTTGATTTGGGGCGGTTGGCCTGAAGGTGAGCTCTTGATATTCATTCCTTATAATTTTCTTTGGCTTCTTGCCGCCTTTTGTCCATTCGATTTTCTCTCCTTTTTGTTTTTACAACTAATTTGGTTAATATCGTTTTCTTCAGAATTCCCCGCATCAGATAAACCGCCAACACCATCCTACCTCCGTTTATTACATCTCGGAAAAATTCTACAAGACGAAGATACCCTTACACGACTAAAATTCCCGTCATATACCCCATCTTACTCCTCACCAACCGCACCACCGCCATCAACATCTCCTACCGACCCCGCTCCCTCTGCACCTTCATCCCCGACTTCAGCTACCTCCCCTTCATCCTTACCCGCTCCAATGCCTCTAACGATTATACACCTCTCCATACGCCCACACGGACCCGGCATTCCTCCCTTATCCGAAGACGGAAATGGGCTACCAAAGAAAAAAGGAATGAGTATTCGAAGGAGGAGTTTGTTTAGTGGTGTACAAGTGCCTCCGTTAAGTCTTGCTGTTTTCAACAGTAACAATAATAACGGAAATGGGCCGACTTCACCGACGAGTCCGAGTGCAGGAGGTGGAGCTGGAGGTGAGGCACAGTCGCCGACTCAAGGGCAAGTGGGAGTAGTTGGGACGACGGGGCTGGAAGGAGGTGTGGTAGCGTCTGCGGTTGTTTCTTCTTCTGCACCGGCACCACCTGTTGATGCAGGAGATGAGCATGGGAGAAGTAGGGGAGGAGGGTGTTGTGTCATTTGTTGAGGTCATGATTCGGTGTACATAGGATACTTTACGTACCTTTGGGTTTACTTACCTTTTGGAATTGTGGATATGGATTATGCTTTACTTTCGCTTTATGCTGTCCAAAGTGCACAATAATTCAAGTTACCCGTTTTCATTCAATGCCACACCCGTTTTCATTACTTTTGTCAGTCCCCGTTTTCGGCAAGGATTGCACATCACAATAAGGCCTCTTTCCCCCTTCCAAATGTAATATTCTAGCTCTAAAATGATTTCTACACAACAATGTTTGGCTATCTGAGCAATGAAGGCCCTGGAAGATGGACTTCGAGGAGTAAGAAGTTGTAGATAATGCTAAGTGTGATTATCTTATCTCGCATAGATATCTTTTCTTGTTATCTCAACTAATCTTATCTCATTTCATTACACAATGGCTATTACTACCTCTCTTCCTCCTCATTTACAGATGAATTCCACCTTTCATGGATGCTTTTATGGCTCAGAAAGATTATTATATACCATATCCAGCTGGGAACAACACATATGAGGAGCCTTGAAGCGAGGGGATGCCTTTATCCGTTGCCACTTTTCACTGAAAACGGGTGTTGGTCTCAATGAAAACGGGTAGTACTATAATTGAAACCGGGTATGACTTCAATGAAAACGGATGGGAATTAATGTGCAAATGGACCAGCATATCGCTTGGGCTTCTGATGGACAGTGAAGCGTTATGATGTAGGTCTCTCATTATAACATGGGTCAGGGCATATCCGTGTATGATTTTTCATAAAATTCACTAAGAAAATACATGTGTATAAAAAAGTAAGATCGGAATCTGTGTCCACACAAAAACTTGATTAACAGAGCACAAATCATGTATTAATATCAGATTTTTGAAGAACTGGAGCACAAAGAAAAAGCACAACCAAAAACTGAGCAAAAATCACATAATAGTAGAACTCATCAATCCTAAAGTTTAGGGGCAGTATAAAAACTGGTTCTAATCATCTTGGCTCCATACTTCAATAAGAGGTAGGTCATTTCTTCAATTTCAGCTTCATGCCACCATGCAGAGGTGTTTGACTGGGCAGCTTTGAGAGCAGTTCAATATTCACCACTCTGAATGTTGGGATCTACTCCATTCTCTAGCAACATTTGGACTATGCTTTGATGTTTCCAGTAGGAAGCAGCATGAAGAGCAGTTCCATATTTACCACCCTGGATGTTGGAATTGGCTCCTTTCTCCAGTAGCAGTTGTACTATGTTTACATGACCATTAGCTGAAGCAGCTTGAAGAGCAGTTTCATAAAAACCACTCTGAATGTTGGGATCTGCTCCATTCTCTAGCAACATTTGGACTATGCTTTGATGTTTCCAGTAGGAAGCAGCATAAAGAGCAGTTCCATATTTACCACCCTGGATGTTAGAATTGGCTCCTTTCTCCAGTAACAGTTGTACTATGTTTACATGACCATTAGCTGAAGCAGCTTGAAGAGCAGTTTCATAAAAACCACCCTGAACATTGGAATCTGCTCCCTTCTCTAGCAACAGTTCAACTATACTTATGTTTCTCCAATTAGAAGCAGCTTGAAGAGCAGTTCCATATTTACCACCCTGAACATTGGGATCTGCTCCATTTTCCAGCAAAAGTTGGACAATGGCTGCATATCCTCTGTAGGAAGCAGCTTGAAGAGCAGTTCCATATTTACCACCCTGAACATTGGGATCTGCTTCTTTTTCCAGCAAAAGTTGGACTATGACTGCATTTTCCCTGTAGGAAGCAGCTTGAAGAGCAGTTCCATATTCACCACCCTGAACATTGGGATCTGCTCCTTTTTCCAGCAAAAGTTGGACTATGGCTGCATTTTCCCTGTAGGAAGCAGCTTGAAGAGCAGTTCCATATTTACCACCCAGAACATTGGGATCTGCTTCTTGTGC